TCAAAATTTTGGCAGCGATTAAAATTCCATGGCACATTTGATTACGGACGCCGCTGTGTTGGTTGGTGAGCGTGCGAGCCGCATATTATGGCAAACACACGAGCCCCTCATCCCACGCCGGGGAGCTCGAGAAATAAAAGTGCAGCACGGTTAAAAAAAGAGAGAGAGACATGACTAACGATGGTGTTTTACGTTTCTTTACGTCGTTACGTGGCTCGAAATTGGAACATCATTTCCGTTCCAGCGTGCCCCTGCCTCTGACAGCTCTTCCCTCCCCACCCCACCCCTTTCCCCGTCACCCCCCCCCCTCTTCCCACCATGCCCATCGCAGCACAATGGCCACACTGTAGCCTTCCGAACGGTACAAAGGAAACGGTTCGTAACGTATGAGGCACCCGCCGCCTTCCAGACAAATTGCAAGCACGCGCGTTGGTGTGTGTGTGTGTGTGTGTGCGCGCGTGTGTGTGTGTGTGTGTGTGTATGTATGTGTGTGTGTGTGTCTTGGTGTGAGTGCGGGCATGTGTGCAGGATGAGCGTGTTTGTGTAGAGCTCACAATGAATAACGAGAACGTATCTAATTGGCCGCGGAGGCTCCACCACACTGCGAGACCCTCCTCTGCTACCTCCGTCCGTGAAAGCTCAAAGAAGACCCACTTCTGCCTCCTCTGTCTCTGCGCCATCAACGTTCACTGTCCGAAAGCTCAGCGGTGCACAGTGCGCCAGAAGACCGGTTGGAGGCGGCCAAAACTCTAGACGTGGTTTGAGCTCCAGAGTCGCTAAGTGGGACTCGAACCGAGAGTGTGACCCCACCAATGGATTGCTCTCCGAACGAGGAATCCATTGGTGGGGTCACACGTTCGGTTCGAGTCCTGCTAAGCGACTCTAGGGCTGAAAACGCGACTAGAGTTTTGTTCGCCTCGACCAGTCTTCTGGCCCACTGTGCCACGCCTAGCAACACGACAGATTTCCTTTTCTCTGAATTTCCTCCCAGAAAGCGCCCCTCCCCCTTTCCCGGACTCGGCGCGGCCGCGGTTTGAGCCGTTTCAGCAAAATTGTACATAAAGACGCGTGAAGAAGGAGGGCTCGATGAATTTCTCATCCCTTCCCTTGCGGCGCCGCAAAGCATGCCGCAGAGTCTGTCTCTCTCGCACTCACGGGCCTCCCCTGTAGGTGCGAGAGAGACAGAGCGACGAATCTCGGAATCAGTCTGCAGGGCCAGTCGTCGCACATGAAAAGCGGCGGGAGGGGGGGAGGGGGCGGAGACGAACTCTTTGGGGCCATCTTGCAGTACCACATGTTTGCCGTGTTTATCAACACACCCCGCCTGGCTCGCCTGGCGTTGCGCGGCGCGCCTCCAGCAAAGGGGCGACGAGAGAGAGAGAGAGAGAGAGAGAGAGAGAGAGAGAGAGAGAGAGAGAGAGAGAGAGAGAGAGAGAGAGCCTCACGAATATGCGCGCAAGAGCTGCAAACATCCGATTTTCCGCGCGCTGCGCCTGGCTGCTCCGTGCTTCTCCGTGCTGCGCAGTGCTGCGACGAGCCACGCCGTG